TTTTGAATACCTCATCAATTAACCGCGGCCTCCACACACAGTGGGCATTTAGCCGGCATTTTCTGAAAAAATCGTAGGTACGAAATTTTCTGTTTTGAATAGCGGTATATATAGCGTAAACAATGCCCTATTTAACAGTGGAAAATTTTTTGTTCTAGCTGCTTCCAAAGTGGAGAAAACCAAGTTACAGGATTACTAGCGGAATAGGCGTGTTGGTATTTAAAATTGCATTTTCTCCATCAAATTTGAATTTTTTTGAAAAACAACGATCAAGGTTAAAATATCTTGAGTAATTTGCAAGGATATTAATAATTACTGAAGTAGAAGAAGAATAATGTAAGTACTCTATAAAATATTAAAAATGTCAGAATAAAATAATCTGTTTTGCTATGTTTTCGATGCAAAAAATACTTACAAAAGGCGGTATGTAATGAGATTCAAAACATGTAATGTTGTAAATCCCAATATTTCTTCGTCAATATATCGAATGTAAAAAATATGGAAGTCCTATCGAACAATAGTTGAAATACTAAGTGTATACTGATAATAGTAATACTAACTTCAAAATACGAATCGATCTAAACTCAATTCATTCCAGTATATAATTAACGAAAAATATCGGCTCTATTAGCGTCTAGCCGCATCTGTTTTCGTCAACTTAAGACCAGCTCGAGCTCTCCATAACGTTTTGCTACTGAGAAACCTTGCAGCTACGAACAGTCCCATTTTTGTCAGTGCTGTGGCACATCTCACAAATCATGCTAGATGGAACCAAACAAACACCACATTTTCACAAGATCAGCATCTCCTAAAAGTTTGACCAAGCTGGACTTATATTTTCAGAGATAGGTTTCTGACGGAGGGAGGAGGCTAATGGAAAAAAGCACTAAAGTATTAAAAGACTTCTTTGTTTTATTTTATTCCCAGATTGTACACCTATAGAACATAAGAATTGTGGTAACTTTTCTTCTCATCATGGAAAATAAAATAATTACTAAATGGTACCGGTAGTAACTTACTTGTGTTCGAGATTCTTCCATCTCTACACAACCAGTCACAATGTTAAGAAACTTATTTGTTGCTGTTAATGCCCACAGTGATACTTCATCTAACCATTGTAATGTTTGTTCTAGTTTCTGTATTGATACCAAGTCAGCATTTTCTACTACTAAATTTTTCATATTAAAACAAAATAATTTGAGATGATTTTTAGCTAGATAACATTCAGATTGCTGTTGATTGTGTTGTTAAAGTGTTTAATTATCTCGAATTATACGCTCAAGTTCGTCCTATTTAAAACGGCTACTATTCACTACTACTATTCATCGCTGTTGCTGTATTATTTTTCTTCGTTCATACATGAAGAATACCATTAACATCAACATCGAATGTGATTTCACTTTGTACTTCACCATCTAAAATAGAAGACCATTCTCTTCTAGCAATGAAAGAAAAAGTTATCTTTCTCACGAAATGCTAATCGTAATGCTTATCTTTGGGAATTGTCCTTTCATCTTCAAAAACTTTAATTTTTGAACCTATTTGGTAATTGATTCACGAGGTAAATATTTATCGCATAATTGTTGGTACCGTTGTACTGGATTTTCTTTATGAATATGTGATTTGTCTAAACAAGCATTGTTTAGAGCTTGAACGATATATTCCAGCATTAGCTGAAATAAATCATTATTGAGTTCGTGTAATCGCTGAATAAAAATTTCAATATAATGAATCAATCTCCGTTCTCGCTTGAGTTTGTGTTGATCATTTTGCCCGATGATGTGAAAAAGGTTTCACGAAACGTCTCTAATAAACAATGTTTAAATCGGTGTCTATAACTCTATTATTCTTTAGAAAATGTATTTACCATATTATCAAAAAACGAAACGATTCAGTTAAAAGAATATAGGTGAAATACTGCAAAGCTTCAATTTTCAGTACTTTCAAATCCAAGCTCCGCAAAAAGATATTCAATTTCAACATTAGAGGTGCTACTTTCCTTTTACTAATTATTATATTATCCGGTAAAAGTAATAAACGTTTGTTACTTATTACCGGTAAAAAGGTAATAAATCTAGTTGTTTTATTACTTATTACTTCTTTATGTAATATGTTTTCATCATTTTACTTATTAAGGCGCCGCTAATTCGAAATCGGAGTGAAATTTATTTTTCTTTTAAAGTTACATATTCTGAACCGCCTTGACGCGCTAAGCCCGAATCTGATAATATTTTTTCGATTTGGGCGTTTTTTCGCTGAGAAAACTGCCGAACATTGAGTGTTACTCGAAAGTAAAAAATTCATCCAAGCACAAAAAACATCGTCTATCTCGATAATATGACATTCTAGAACTTTTTTGACGTGATATTCTGAATCCGTGTGTAAAACTGGGTATAGACATTGTATTTAAATACAATGTCTATACCCAGTTTTACACACGGATTCAGAATATCACGTCAAAAAAGTTCTAGAATGTCATATTATCGAGATAGACGATGTTTTTTGTGCTTGGATGAATTTTTTACTTTCGAGTAACACTCAATGTTCGGCAGTTTTCTCAGCGAAAAAACGCCCAAATCGAAAAAATATTATCAGATTCGGGCTTAGCGCGTCAAGGCGGTTCAGAATATGTAACTTTAAAAGAAAAATAAATTTCACTCCGATTTCGAATTAGCGGCGCCTTAATAAGTAAAATGATGAAAACATATTACATAAAGAAGTAATAAGTAATAAAACAACTAGATTTATTACCTTTTTACCGGTAATAAGTAACAAACGTTTATTACTTTTACCGGATAATATAATAATTAGTAAAAGGAAAGTAGCACCTCTAATGTTGAAATTGAATATCTTTTTGCGGAGCTTGGATTTGAAAGTACTGAAAATTGAAGCTTTGCAGTATTTCACCTATATTCTTTTAACTGAATCGTTTCGTTTTTTGATAATATGGTAAATACATTTTCTAAAGAATAATAGAGTTATAGACACCGATTTAAACATTGTTTATTAGAGACGTTTCGTGAAACCTTTTTCACATCATCGGGCAAAATGATCAACACAAACTCAAGCGAGAACGGAGATTGATTCATTATATTGAAATTTTTATTCAGCGATTACACGAACTCAATAATGATTTATTTCAGCTAATGCTGGAATATATCGTTCAAGCTCTAAACAATGCTTGTTTAGACAAATCACATATTCATAAAGAAAATCCAGTACAACGGTACCAACAATTATGCGATAAATATTTACCTCGTGAATCAATTACCAAATAGGTTCAAAAATTAAAGTTTTTGAAGATGAAAGGACAATTCCCAAAGATAAGCATTACGATTAGCATTTCGTGAGAAAGATAACTTTTTCTTTCATTGCTAGAAGAGAATGGTCTTCTATTTTAGATGGTGAAGTACAAAGTGAAATCACATTCGATGTTGATGTTAATGGTATTCTTCATGTATGAACGAAGAAAAATAATACAGCAACAGCGATGAATAGTAGTAGTGAATAGTAGCCGTTTTAAATAGGACGAACTTGAGCGTATAATTCGAGATAATTAAACACTTTAACAACACAATCAACAGCAATCTGAATGTTATCTAGCTAAAAATCATCTCAAATTATTTTGTTTTAATATGAAAAATTTAGTAGTAGAAAATGCTGACTTGGTATCAATACAGAAACTAGAACAAACATTACAATGGTTAGATGAAGTATCACTGTGGGCATTAACAGCAACAAATAAGTTTCTTAACATTGTGACTGGTTGTGTAGAGATGGAAGAATCTCGAACACAAGTAAGTTACTACCGGTACCATTTAGTAATTATTTTATTTTCCATGATGAGAAGAAAAGTTACCACAATTCTTATGTTCTATAGGTGTACAATCTGGGAATAAAATAAAACAAAGAAGTCTTTTAATACTTTAGTGCTTTTTTCCATTAGCCTCCTCCCTCCGTCAGAAACCTATCTCTGAAAATATAAGTCCAGCTTGGTCAAACTTTTAGGAGATGCTGATCTTGTGAAAATGTGGTGTTTGTTTGGTTCCATCTAGCATGATTTGTGAGATGTGCCACAGCACTGACAAAAATGGGACTGTTCGTAGCTGCAAGGTTTCTCAGTAGCAAAACGTTATGGAGAGCTCGAGCTGGTCTTAAGTTGACGAAAACAGATGCGGCTAGACGCTAATAGAGCCGATATTTTTCGTTAATTATATACTGGAATGAATTGAGTTTAGATCGATTCGTATTTTGAAGTTAGTATTACTATTATCAGTATACACTTAGTATTTCAACTATTGTTCGATAGGACTTCCATATTTTTTACATTCGATATATTGACGAAGAAATATTGGGATTTACAACATTACATGTTTTGAATCTCATTACATACCGCCTTTTGTAAGTATTTTTTGCATCGAAAACATAGCAAAACAGATTATTTTATTCTGACATTTTTAATATTTTATAGAGTACTTACATTATTCTTCTTCTACTTCAGTAATTATTAATATCCTTGCAAATTACTCAAGATATTTTAACCTTGATCGTTGTTTTTCAAAAAAATTCAAATTTGATGGAGAAAATGCAATTTTAAATACCAACACGCCTATTCCGCTAGTAATCCTGTAACTTGGTTTTCTCCACTTTGGAAGCAGCTAGAACAAAAAATTTTCCACTGTTAAATAGGGCATTGTTTACGCTATATATACCGCTATTCAAAACAGAAAATTTCGTACCTACGATTTTTTCAGAAAATGCCGGCTAAATGCCCACTGTGTGTGGAGGCCGCGGTTAATTGATGAGGTATTCAAAAACGCATTTTCAGCTACGCGTCGTAGTAGCTGAGAACAAAAACACGCATTTTTATAATTAAACTGAGACATATCGCGATGTTCTCCAAGTAACTTAATTATCATTTTCTTGGTGAAAGGTAAGGATACTAAGAGGCAGGAGTAAACTAAAATATATTTTTAGACTTTATCGGACGTAGAACTTTTTTAATTCAAACTTAAACCATACAAACTTGTAGCGTGAATCGAACATGTACTCAAAACATACTGAGCAGATGGCATGTGTATTTCATCTTTTGTGTCGACACCACCACTCTCAATTAACAACACTTGTTTATTTGAATCTTCACTTAAACGATTTGCTAACACGCTACCAGCACTACCTGAACCAATAATAATATAATCAAACTCAATATTATCAACTTTTGTTAATGTAAAATCTCGTTCCCATCGTTGTAATGCTGGTTTTCGTACTACGTCATTTAAACTTGTATTATGGTTATCTGGATTTGTTAATGACATCATGTGGCAGCTATCTGAAAAAATAAATGTGTTTATGATGAACGAAAAACCGATATTGGTAAATAGACAGATATGTATGCCCGTAATTCGAAGTTTCCATGACTTTTTTCCTTTTAACATATTTATACATGGTTGGATAGAGGACATCGAGCTGAGTAAGAAAAAGTTAGTTTCAAGTTTTGAAAAACAATTTCTCAGGGTGAAAGTTTTTCAAAACTTTAAAGGACCGATTTTTGCTCAAAATCGCTACAGTTTCAACAAATTTAATTTGTGCACTTTCTCATTACTCTCAAGTTTTGAAACAACTGTGAATTCACCACTGAAAACTGAGTATCGAGAAGATGTCTGATTGATCTCAAACCTAAAAGCTCATTTAGCCTGCTTCACTTGAACGGATCCTTCAAGAAGACAGCAGGTCATTCTGCAAACCTATCTAGTTTTTTGTGTGAATACATCTTGTCATTTCTCTTATCTCGTTCCAACCGTCAAACTTCCCTTTTTTCCAATTTTTCGGCGTGAAAATTCGAAAAAAATGAGTTATCGGGCAGGATGAGATAATACATCATTCGACTCAGTTTTTGATGCCGATTCTGAATATGACATTTTATTGCATAAAAAATGAGTTCTAGTGGAGAAAAATGAGAATTACGGACGAACTTCTGACTTTTTCGCTTCTGATTTAGAAAAAATGAATTATCTCAGTGAGGAAACAAAATTTAAAAAAATCGATACGTCGTGTTGCTGACAGTTTGACGATTGGAATGAGGTAAGAGAAATGGCAAAGTGTATTCACACAAAAAACTAGATAGGTTTGCAAAATGACAGTTGGGACAGGACATTTCACCAGAATACTGATGTTCTTTTTGTTAAAACTGTAGCGATTTTGAGCAAAACTGATCCTTTAAAGTTTTAAAAAACTTTCAGTCTGAAAATTTTTTTCAAAACTTGAAACTAACTTTTTCTCACCCAGTTCGATGTCCCCTATCCAACCATGTATAAATATGTCAAAAAGAAAAAAGTCATGGTAAATTCGAATTACAGCACCTTATGTGTTGTAGAATGAGTGATTTTGTTTTCTTATTCACGTTATATATAAGGCCTCTAGTATATATACATGTACCTGAGATATATCTCTATTGACATTTGCTTCGCATTTATCGCATTTTTCATCACAGAAAAGAGAAAGGAGAACAGTATATTCTCGCATTTTGTTCTTCAACTGACAAAATTGCGGAACAGAAAGACGAAAAAACATACATGTTGCATAAGATATTGCGGATAGTATTCTCAATTCGTTTAATCAATATAAAAAACACTGGACTAGTTTCGATCTTCTAAAGATACTCTTCAGTTTATGTTATTAAAATAAAAATGTAAAAGTGAAGAAAATTCGATACATAAGATGCACGTAAAGCAAACTTCGAGTGAAATCTTTTTTTGTGCTTTATTATACATATTCTGAATCGCCAGGTCGAGCTGATCACGAATATCACCTTTCCAGCTCGAAAAAGTGAAATTTTGATGGAGAAAAATGCGAAGTATTGAGAATAGGTCGGAAAAGCCAAAAAAATCCTTCTTTTTCAAAAAAAGACGTACAATTTTTTCCGCTTATGTTTTTACTTCTTACAATTAAATTTTTCGAATTCCTCGTTGAAAACTGATTCTAGTGAAGTGGCTTTCAAGGACTTTTTG